TTCCTTTCGGTTCATCGAAACGAAAACTATTTTACAATCCATTCCTCGTATTCGTTACTGTTATCGGGTTTTCACTTAAAATATTGGTCTCAATATTTATGATCGACGACCAAAGCGACCCCCGATTGGCCCTTATATTAGGCGATTGGCTCTTATTTCTGCCAAAACAGATACGATATCACATAACAATCGCTCAACTCTTGTACGGCTTCACAGCAATTGTTACACAACTAATCCACTTCTGGTATTACGCCAACGATATAATTCCTGACTATTTGAAACCCTTTCAAATGGCGAGCGGTTTGATGTCCCCTAAAGACATAGGGCTGACCCACACCACAGATGTTCGCGCATTGCTTCGACAGATAAACATAACGTTAAAATGTACTGAATTTCTGCGACAAACAGCTATACCGTCGGCTATACTGGTGTCGGGCGTACCCCTCGCCATGAATGCCACGTTCAGTGAGTTTGTATTTCTGGTCATTCCCGGTGTATTTATTTATACGTGTTATGTGTTATTCAGCGCCGGTTTTCTCGTTTATCAAATCGCATACTTTCATATCATTTGCTTTTATCTAAGACTCAAACTCAAGCGAATTAACCATAAGCTGAGGAAAGTGTTCATATCGTCCGAAATGACAAATATAAACATTTTTGGGAACTTGAATGCAATTCATAAGGAGATCATTGGATGTAATGATAACTTTTGGAGTGAATACCTGCTGTGGATCTTCCTGTTAGTGATGCCTGTATTGAATCTCATGTTATTCTTCATCCTCTTTACTCCAAACATTGACTTTCTTTATCGCCTATTATTTGCTTATTTTGTTGTATTATTTGTGATATTTTTGTTAATTGTATTCTTGACGGCCTCTTCGGTCTCGTCGGAGGCCAACAAAACAAATACTTTCTTTAATCACATCTATTTGGATAACAAGTATTCAATATACTATAAAATTAAGGTATTTTTAAGCTTTTTAAACTGTTATTTCAGTAATTTATATCAAATTAGTTTTTTCGTGTTATAAAATAGTTAATGAATTTTGCGGAGAAAACCAAAGAAAAAACAATTGGTTTTTATTTGGGAAAAATGTTTTTAATAAACAATTATAAAATACAAGAAGTAAGTAATAAATTGATAATTATATTGAATATAACTTATATAACAGTTATTGTATTATTTGCAACTAGATCATAGTGTTGTCCATTGTTTTCTTCCTCAAGATTGTCGAGATCTCTCTCTAAGCCGTAAAATGCAATATAAGTCACATTAATATCCATTAATTATATCAATTTAATTGTCATATATTTAAAGCAAAACTTTTTAAAAAGTTTACAAAACTTTTCCTAAACATTATGAGCGATAAAATGCAACCAAAAAAATACCATAAATATCAATAGCATTATATCAGTCTATGTAAAAACATTAAATAACTACAAAAAATGATCATGATACACATTAACTACAATTAAATCACTACAATATACTTTACGTCGCGTTATAATGAACACAATAAGTGATCGGTTCTACAAAAAATGTATGTCAAAGCGAGTATAGAGTGTGTAATCCCTGTCCATAGAGAGCGCTGTAAACTGTGTTTCCATTGGCTTTGCATTGAATAGAAACGTCTGTTTTGGCGGCAAATGCTTTGATTGGCTTTGAGTCACACAAACACTACTGTTATTGTGTTGTTGTCATCGCAAACCCAAGACATCACCCGAAGGATCAGTTGCGGACAATACACGCCTATAACAGCCATCACAGCGACGACATGACGGACGTGAACGTGGATCAGATGCGCGGCATCTTTGATAACTCACAGCATTTGCATAAATCGCAGAAATGTTTGTCACAAATGCAGGACTTGTACCACAAATACGTGAGTCATCTCTCATTAGATCCCATCATTTGATCCACTCTTTGACCCAATGTTTTGCATTTTTCTCGGTTGCGATCGCAGGCGGACTCCGAAGAGCTCTTGTCTGACTTCGCGGCCGAACTCCGGAGAGACATATTGTTTACGTTGAACTGCGACCCGAAGAGTCCGTTCACGAAACACACCATTGAATTCGTGGCCAACTTTTTGCGCTCATTTTCGGCCCCAAAACAGCCCGAAGACACCCGATTGGAGGACACGACTACCACCGCAGCCAATGGCGACGACACGACCGCCTCCGACGGCGACGACACTATTATTGACGAAGAGATGGCTGCGGACGACGAGTCGGGCGCCGATCGGTCGGATCAGGAGAACAGAGCGCCGGCCGACGACAGCCTTAACGACGAGTTGGGCGTCGAGTCGTTCGGCAGTGAGTCCTTCTCCCGACGCGCCCGCAAAGACCAGTCGACAATCGGCGCCAACACTACCACCGCCTCATCCATGAACTACACGTCCGCCACCGCCGATGGCGCCAAAGAAGATCCCACTTTCGCCGATATGATCATCAAAGACCAGTTGA